TATATATATATATATATATATATATATATATATATATACAATAATCTCGTACTGATAGTGTATAAACCTAGGTTGCTAATTAAACAACACTACAAAATAAATGCTACATTAGGGGTAGCTCAAAATATATAGTCATGTCATCCACTAGCATGTCTCTTAATTACAAGAACTTTTTCTCCAATCTATCCTGTTATTCTCTCATACTAATTATAATCATCACAGTCTAACCATAAAAAAATATGAAAAAGTTAGTCTTCAAAATAATCAGCAAGTATAGAAGAATTAACTAACTATACTATAACTTAAGCAATTAACATACACCAACCATTGTTAACTTACAACCCAACTACAAAACACAACAAGATCTCAACTTACAACATAATCATACAACCATCAACATATCAACATGATATATGAATAACACAACACAATTTTCAACTTGAGCAACACAACATTGCAACTTATCCACTTAACAATATAGCATATACACAACACAACTTAACATATCAACCACATAGCACAACATAACAATTACATACATCGTCACACATTCAATTAAGAAATCTTTTACAACATAAGTGAACAATTTAAGTAGTTCGACCCTACCAAACCAACTAACAACGCGATCTTTTTAGGTTCACTAGATCAACAACTAATTTGGATAAAAATCTACAACATAACATGATTTGTCGGATTTTGCCACTTAAAATAGAAAAGTCTAGTATTTCTATCAGGGTATAATAGTTAGGGAATGAGTATGAGATTATTCTATCAACTACCATCTAAATATTACGCCTTTTTTGGTACTTAGTTATAGAATTTGACCCCCAACCATGTACTTTACTCGGTTGGTCACTTTGTACATGTATGGCTCAACCTAATCCCATACAAATCAACATTTGGTCGTTTTTTAATTAGTATAGCATAATTTGACCCCTATATGTTGTCAATTATAGATAGTATGACTTGAACTTGCCCTCATATCACTTTGTACCATCTAAATATTACGCCTTTTTGGGTACTTAGTTATAGAATTTGACCCCCAACCATGTACTTTACTCGGTTGGTCACTTTGTACATGTATGGCTCGACCTAATCCCATACAAATCAACATTTGGTCGCTTTTTAATTAGTATAGTGTAATTTGACCCCTATATTGTTGTCAATTATAGATAGTATGACTTGACATTGCCCTCATATCACATCAATTAAGATCCTAAATGAGACTCAACATTTAACTTCAAGAGTCAACTTCTCAAAAAGGATTTTCAACAACTAGACTCGTAGAACACCACAATACCATATCCTCATAATGGAATGTTCAACTTTTAAAACAATCTCTCCTCTAGTCCCAAGTCAATCAATCCAATTCAACATAATACCTAAAGCATTCTTAACACAACCACCTCAACACTACACAACATACAACTTAACTTTCATTCTATTATAACTTTCAACAATTTAGTCATCAATATATATCATTTTAGATCAATGTATAAAGAATTAATATCATATAACAACATGTGAGATATCCAATTATCATATAATTGTTCAACACTTAGTCAAGAAATCAACATTTTTCATTAGGTAACCCACGCTTGATGTCATTTTCCCTGCACCAAACATGAAATGAAACAAAGAGTCTCTAACTCACCCACACTCGATGCCAATCTACCTACACTCAATGTAAATGAGGCAAAGAGTCTCTTTGACAGTCACACTTGGTGTGGTCAAAGTCCACGCTCAACCTCGTTTAGGTAGAGCTAGCCTTTGTTTGTCTTTGTCTGTCTTATGCCCAATATCACTACATTGGTGTCCGGTGTTTTCTAGTCAAATAGTTCTAAGAGCATCCACGACTGATGTCAAATTCTCATGTCAAGTAAAAATTCGAATATATCGTGAAAGTAATTACAAAAAGTACCATTTCTCATGTCAAATTCTCGTGAAAGTAAAAATTCTTTGTATATCAAAATATTCATAAATTTTACAAGATTCAAGCAAGTAACATTTCAAGAAATGTGAGAATCAACCTCCAGACTATCTTAACTCTACTGATGTTGACCAAGTTGATGTAAGATGGGTGCAACCTTTAGAATCTTATTTTTATTTTGTTACATAAAAATACATACATCAGCCGAGTTGATACTATATTCGAATATATCGTCATGAGCCCTAGCCGACGCTAACCAAAATAATATAGGTTAGTATATATTATTGGCCTAGACAACACTAACTTTAACAACATATTAATGCAATATAAATCACTAATAAATGCGTAATTAGCTCCAACCTCAACATCAACTCGTTTAATACTAATTATGAATATTATTTGTTCACACTTTTTCTCTTTATTCAATGACCTGTTTTTATGACTCTAACTCTAAAAATTGTGAAATAGGTTGACTCATCTTAAGTCAATCCATCACAAACAGGGACGGAGCCAGGATTTCAATACTGGGGGGCCGAGAATTGGAATGATCAAATGAGGCGCTACATTTTTTAAAAAAAAAAAAAATTCCAAAGTGATACCACATAGCAGGCCGTACCAGAAGTCCAAAAGTTGAATAAAAAAATAAATTTGGGTTATTCATTTAATTATACATATGAGTTTATATTAAAAATAGGGGGTGCCATATAGTAATATATATGTATATAAAAAAAATTAAAATTGTTGGGGGGGCCGTGGCACCCGTAGGTCCCCCCTTGGCTCCGTCCTTGATCACAAAATAAGTCAATTCACCTTATTCCACTTAACAAAAATAAATTCAAAAACTCAACTCATTTCCTTTATGGATGGATTGGCAAACTAACTAGTCAACTTGTTTAATAATTAAAAAATATTTTTTATATAATATTTATTCAAAATTAAATAAATTAACTGAAATTTTTTTTAATAATAACTAATCTAAACACAATAATTGGCACAAATGAATTCATAAAATTAACTAACATAACCATTTACACTTAGTTAATATATAT